GTCCGCGAGCACCGCCACGAGGATGCCGTTGAGGGGCACGCCCACGAGCGCGTACAGGATGCAGAAGACGCGGCCCCAGGGCGTGGCGGGGGACATGTGGCCGAATCCTGCAGGCGAAGAAGGGAAAAAAACTAAAATAAAGTAAATGATTAAAGTTTTCAAAATGAAAAAAGTTTGGCGAGAATGTAGAGAGAAAAGGGAAAAAAAAAGTTTGGTGGAATAATCACTCGGTATTTTATATTTTATTTTTAGGTTTCATGTTTTTATCTTTTATCCTGTTTTTGGATTCATGGAAGACATTTTCATCTAAAGATCAGTCCCAACGGATTTTACCATTTGCATTGCAGATATTCTGGTTTTCGAAACCTGTTGAAGAGGCAGACTGGCAATTAATTCGGACTTTGATTTATTGCTCTTTCTTGTAACATACGCTCTTAGAGGAGAAGCCTGACGCGTTTTATAAGGAAATTAACGTCTTACATTTACCGGAGTGCATTTAAAGGATCGTAAACAATAATCCTAAGCCAATTAACAGCTTTTTGCTACACACACACACACACACACACACACACACACACACACACACACACACACACACACACACACACACACACACACACACATATATATATATATATATATATATATATATATATATATATATATATATATATGTATATATGTATATGCATATATATATATATATATATATATATATATATATACATAATATATATATATGTATATGCATAATATATATGTATATATATATATATATATATATATATATATATATATATATATATATATATGTATGTGTGTGTGTGTGTGTGTGTGTGTGTGTGTGTGTATATACACATATATATATGTATATGCATATATATATATAGATAGATAGATAGATAGATATAGATATGTGTGTGTGTGTGTGTGTGTATGTGTGTGTGTGAATGTGTACATATATATATATATATATATATATATATATATATATATATATATATATATATATATATATATGTGTGTGTGTAAGTATGTAGGTATGTATATATATACATCATCATCAGCCTGGTTCAATCCAAGGCAGAGCGTAGGCCTCTCCCAATCTTTTAAAGTTTTTCCTGTGTTGTGCTTTTTGCATTCAGTCCTGGTCCCCAAATTTCGTTATTTCGTCACATCTTGTCACTGGTCTGGCCCTTGACCTCTTTGTGATATCTATTGCCCAGTCTGTTACTTTCTTTGTCCCTCTGTCGTCTTGTCTCCGGCATATATGCCCTGCCCTTTGCCATTTCTTCTTTTTGACGCTAATAAGTGTATCTCCCACTTTGGTGTGTTCCCTGATCCGCGTCGCCCTCAGCCGATCTCCTGGGTTGATTCCCATCAACCATTCCAGTCCTTTCTTGACACGGACTAACTCCTCTCCGGCAGTTGGGTCGTTGTCCGTGTTTCTGACTGGGATGACGCATTGGTTAAGACTTTTCTCTTTAAGCATAATGGTGAGGAAACTCTTAGCATACTATAGTGTCTGCCAAAGGCGCTCCAGCCTAGACCGTTGTCTGTATGAGTTACCCTATATATATATATATATATATATATATATATATATATATATATATATATATACATACTCGTCCACTTTATATATATGTATATGCATATGTATATGTGTATGTGTGCGCGTGCGCGCGCGTGTGTGTGTGTGTGTGTGTATCTGTGTGTGTATGTGTGTGTGTGAAAAAGTCTGAAGTGATAAAAGAAAATCCTTTGGATTAGGAATTGCAGCGCATGACGACATGGCCCAAGGAGTGACAGAGCATGCCGGCATGTGCAAGGCGCGTCCGTGTACAACATAACACAACCTAAAAAGATCGCAGTAACTAGGCCAGATAAAAGCGCAAGTGTACAACTGCAGACTATTCGTGCTATACAAATAATATGTGTAATTTTCTGAAAGGTTATGGTGATCTCATGGAAACCACATGACTAACGGCACAACTGTCACCAGATCATTGGTAACGATTGGCCGTAAGCCATGAGGAAATGAGATGATAAGGTATACGCAATGACCCAAACATGGATGGAATATTAAACTATTCTACTGTGGTGTTCGTTATATATATATATATATATATATATATATATATATATATATATATATATATATATATATATATATATATATGTATGTATGTATGTATGTACTCACACACACACACATATATATATATACATATATATGCATATACTATATATAGCCTCATGTGTTTGTCCTCGGCCTTGCAGTCCCCCCTCCCCTCCTCTCCGCCTCTCCACCCCCCCCTCCCCCTCTCCGCCTCTCTTATTCACCCCCTTCTCTCCCCTTTCTTTGTGCAATCGACCTCCTATAGTGCACCGACTTCCTATTTGCTTGAGCTATACTGGTATCGTTAAAGTTTCCACTGGTAGTTCTGATACCAGTATTTGTATGATGGTAAAAATAAAGAGAAATTCTGATAAAGACTCATTCTTAGAATACAAGTATATAATAAAAAACAATACGATAATTAGGAGAACATGAACTCACCACTTTATACATTGCTGGACATATTGCCATCTAGATTGCAGACCAAACGATCAAAGGAAAATCACAATGAACGGTAATAACACGGTGTTTAGTAAAGTTAAGCAAAAGAGAAAGTTGAAAGATTCTGTCTTGTGTTCACTCGGCCTTCTGTGTTGGGGTGGGTTTGTGTGTGTTTCAAGCCTGTCTTGTGTTCACTCGGCCTTCAGTAATTGTTCTGTGCAACATTCTTCTGTTTTTGTTTGATTTAATTCGTTTCTTATTCTATTTTATTGTAATTTGTAGATATATTTAAAAAACTATTGATGGCGATCACTGATAAAAGAAGTTTTTAGAATTGATATGAATGCAATTACTACATCATATATATCAATTAAAAGATGATTTAAACAAAAAAAAATATTATGAATACCTTTCACGGATATATATGCATAACATATTCACGCTTAAACGTGCCATGTAAAAGTGAAGTTACCCACAGGTGACAACAATAAAACGTATATGCATGTATGAACCCAAAGAATGCAAGGCATTTTCATCTTGAATTTGATAAATTGATCATATCTTATCAATGACATACTTTAAAAAGGAAGATTGCCATCAGTGTATCAGTTCTTTTATAGAAAATCAACTATATCGTGATAATAATAATGGTATTAGTAATGGCAATACTAATACCGACGAAGATAAGGAAATACGGTAATAGTAATTGTAACAGTGATCGTAACTAGGATCATAATCGTAATAATTACAATTAATTCGAAAAAAATAACGAAACGGGTCGAAAGATCAAGCAACTGCGAGCTTTTTTCTGTGCCATTTCCGTTGCAAATCAACCGGCGCAGATTCGCGGCAGACCTCGCTGAGGGAGAAACTCCGGTGGTGGGGGAGCAGCCGTAAGCATGTCCGTTTTCGTTCATTCTTGGCTTCGTCTTGCCCAAAAATCCAACAGTATAGGAACCCAGCCGGCCAGTCCAGTAATTGGTTGATCCTGCCAATGGATTTCCTGCATAATCTCCCAAGCAACGTCCGCTCAACCGCTCAACCAATCTCTGCAGCTGAGCTCACTTCTCACACTCGTCCGTTTCCTCTTATTCCTGTTTTCGATTTGCATAAATTTTAGCTGTATTTTGCAAACTACGTCATCAGTAATGATGATATAATGATAATGATATAAATGATGATATCATTGATAATTATAATAATATTAATAATATAAGAATAATTAATAATGATAAGGGTAATAATATTAATAATGATAAGGGTAATAATAGTAATAATAAGGGTAATAATATTGATAATGATGATAATATCAATGGCGATAATAACTATATTGATATCAATAGTGATGATAATGATAATCATAATAAACAACAATTATAACGACGGCGAAAGAAGACAGCAATCAGAAAAAAGATAACACAATCAATCTCACTCACAATTAATGTTCACACCCCCCCCCCCCCCGTTACCCCCACCCCCCACCCCAGCAGTCTGTTACTCAAGCCTCTGATTACGTTGAGGAAATGAGCCTCTTCTCTCCCCAAGGCTTTTCATCCCCTCTCTTCTTCCTCTTTTTTGCTTATCTGCTTTTCTCACTTCCTCTTTCTCTTCTTGACCTTCATTACTACTATTCGTTTAAAAACTTAATTTTGTTTGTCTTTTATTGCTTTATCTATCTATACCTAATACTTATCAACAAAATCCATCTATCGGTCATCAGTTAAGTATTATATGATGAATAAATAGATGAAAGAGACAAACGGAGAGGAAAACAAAATGAGATCAGAGAAATTGGTAAACCGGCAACCGATGTAGTGACCGCCGACATATTCACGGTTTCCTTGTTTTCGTGATTATAGGCAGGAAGGAAATGTGACTTTATATATTTTTTGTTTACGCAAGAGTGCGTTTAGTACGTGGTTGGGGACATCCATCTCTCTGTCACCTCTCTCTCTCTCTCTCTCCCTCTCTCTCTCTCTCTCTCTCTCTCTCTCTCTCTCTCTCTCTCTCTCTCTCTCTCTCTCTCTCTCTCTCTCTCTCTCTCTCTCTCTCTCTCTCTCTCTCCTCTCTCTCTCTCTCTCTCTCTCTCTCTCTCTCTCTCTCTCTCTCTCTCTCTCTCTCTCTCTCTCTCTCTCTCTCTCTCTCTCTCTCTCTCTCTCTCTCTCTCTCTCTCTCTCTCTTTCTCTCTCTCTCTTTCTCCATCTCTCTCTCCATCTCTCTCTCTCTCTCCATCTCTCTCTCTCCATCTCTCGCTCTCCTCTCTCGCTCTCCATCTCATCTTTCGCTCTCCATCTCTCGCTCTCCATCTCTCGCTCTCCATCTCTCTCTCTCCATCTCTCTATCTCAATTTCTCTCTCTCTCCATCTCTCTCCTCTCTCTCTCATCTCTCTCTCTACATCTCTCTCTCTCTCTCTCTCTCTCTCTCTCTCTCTCTCTC